TTTTACCAATTAGGACCACAGCAATAGATTAACTAAATACTGCCATATATATAAGAAGATGTGGTATGAGTGCTAATGAGACAACTCTCCATGACTGTATAGCAAGTAAAGAAAAGTGATACCTCATAAAAACTGTCATAATTTTCCTGACAATCTCATTGTAAAATATACAGAAACAATATTTAGATTAATTCTACACATTACGACAACGTACTTCAACGTACACCAAAATTTGTCATATAGTACATGTAACTTAAAATTTGATATATCAGAGAACATCAAATATAAGTGTGGCAATAAAATGAACGAAAAATAATTCTGACTAGTATTATTCAGTCCCTCCCTATAATCGATCTCTCCAACTTGCGTTAATGATCAAGCAACAAAAAAGCAACAGAATGTTTAATTGAAAGACTGAACTATTCGGGTTAAGGCATGGCAATTGTGTGATTTTATAACCATGTTTATGTATACCTTTTGTTCATGTGAACTTTATGAACTTTAATTCATCCCCTTAGCTGGAGATGGGTTACACATGTACTAGGTGTGTTCAGCTATTAAAAGGGAAAGAATGTTAAAATTGAAAGTGAAACAAGGGTGAACCATTTTGTTGACTGATTTGATAGGGGCAGCTCCTGAATATAAGGAGTTAAAGGATCATATTTTGGCTGTTATTTTACATATATAAATTTCATTTTTTTTGGGGGGGGGGGGGGGGGAGTGCCCTTCTGAATCTTCACCTGATTTAAACTGCAAAACAAAACAAAACAAAATGCTTTTCATATAAAATCCATGTAATCATGATACATTTGTAATACGACATGCATTACATATGTTCAGTAGCATTATAAACAAATAATTACATGCCACTTCCTAAATAACAAGTTATATATAAATGTACTTCCTGTACAAAGTAGTTACATGTACTAATGGAAACACTAGTATTAGTACAAATGGACATACATATCTACCTTGTCTTCACGAGGGTCTGGATGGGGTTTACAGAATAAAGAATAATGACCAAGTAATATAATGAAAAGAAAAAAAAAATAGCAAAAAAATTAAAATAGAGAATCATGGGATGCAAAAGCATAAAGAATAACTAAATAAGGATTTGTATAGTGAGAACATTCTCACTATACAAATGAACGATGTGCAGAATAAAGAAATCATATAATTGCAGAAAAATTTAATACCAATAGTTATATCATTTTTATGAGAATTTTATACATTATAGATTAAGTTTTACTTTGAAAGATTAAAAAATCCCCTAAAAATTTAATAAATCCAGAAATTTAAGACCCCCTATCCAGACTCGCTTACATGATGTACAAATGTACTTCAGGTATTTTTCACCTGAAAATTTGAGAAAACATTTAAGGCAGGAAAATAACCTTTACACTGCAATTAATGATAATGCGTTTAATAATTGTTTTTGGTTAGGAATTAAAAGCACCCATGAATGAAGGTCCTTCTTTTCTGTATTCTTTATATATTATGTACACTAAAATTTTCACTATTCTTTATATTTTTGTCCATTATTCTCTTCTTTATATCAAAGATATATTATACATTATTATGATGTATCATATGTCTCTGTTTATATTTAGCACCCCATTTTTCTCTTTTCTTTTTTTTTTCCAATTTTTCCAGGGCCCATTATTCTCTACTCTGTAAAACCTGTCCAGATCATCATGAATAAAGTAAATTTTATAATGATTATTAACATGGTACAATGTCAATTTGCACCTGGATTTGTATACCTAGACCAAACATGGTCATGTTTAGGTAGCAAAAATTTATTATAAATCAGTTTACATAATTTTTCTAATTTTTTTTCTGATGTCCAGTTTTTATTTGTTTCCATTTAATCGAAAAAGAAAGAATACAGTGTACTAGTTCACGACACCAAATCCTTACATACATCATGTACATGTACTCTTTAAATTTTATTTCTTTTATTCAGGCATGTAAATATTTTCACCTGGGCTACTGAAATTTGATAGCTTGTTTGCATCATGATAATAACTGTAAGCTACTGAATATAAAAGACTGGGCACTTACATTAAAATTACTTAGTTCCATCCCTGCTGTTTCTTTCGGCATATACAATTTTTAGACTGGATATAAAAGTGTGTCTATTTTTATAACTCTACTGTATTAAGAAGTTTTGGGTAATTAACACAATGATCAAATTATGACATTTGATTTTTTTTTTTAATAATTTTAATATTTCTTCATTAAATTATTTCAATATAAAGAAAAATTACAAATTTCATTACACAGATTAACAAACTTGTTTATTACACCAAACAGGTAAATTGTGTTAATTAATAAAGACAGGTGTCAGTTGATTAATCACTTGCCACATTTTTAATTGGCAATAATTAAATGTACCTGTATGACCTGGTTTAACACTTTTTTGTTTCATGGAAAAAAATATCAAGAGACATTTCTAAGAAAATAGTTCATATTCAACAGGACACAGACCTCGAAAATTTTCAAATTTTAAATAAATTTAATAAGATAAAGTCTGTTTCAATATAATACTTCCATGGTTCAACATATAGTAATCAAACAACCCTAGTAAAATATCAGTCTGCACCGTAAGTCACTAGTCCAATGTCCCAGACAAGTAAAATTTTATTTAGTTAACCAAAATATTATAAAGTAAAGTAATTATTAATATATTTCATTTCTAAGTTGTTCTATTTATTTCTATGATTGTATGTGATTGTATTTTGTATATATATTTACCTCTTGTTTCACATGTCAATGTGACAGAGTGTTTTTAAATAAAGCATATTGTATTGTATTGTATTTGACTAGTAAGTATTGGCAAAACTTTTTTTAGACACAAATGTCGGAATAATATAAGTCTACGGACTAGTACATGTAGTTGGAAAAGATTTTGGTGCAGACTGAAATATTGCATTGTATATGAATAAAAGGATATATTTAGATACTTTTCATGACTTATTCAAAATAAAAGTGCATAAAACTACTTTTAAGTACCAGTGATTGACTTTTGTTATGCCTTAATATCTTTTACAAATTTTTTAATTAATGATTTCTTTATTGTCATAAAAGTAAAACGTGATAAAAAAATGATAAACAAAACAAACTGATTTGAATACATATATATATATATCATTTGTGCTGTATTTAGACCCCTCTACCAAGAAATTTGTTTTGCATGCACACGCATAAAAACTGCAGTTTTTATCCAACGCAATCATAGGTTTGAATGTTGTTTTCAATTTAGACATGTTTATATCGTGATATATATATTCAAGCAAATATAACTTAGAGTCGTCTGTCATCAGCTCCAAAGACTGTTTTTGAAAGATTTAGTAGGACTACTAGTTTTTCAGTATCAAAAAGATTTGGAAATACAGATTTTTCTATCATGTCTACTGCAATGTCATTAAAAAGTTTTATGCATAATATTTTGACAGTAGACATGGTAGAGGAGAAAGTGGTTTTCATTTCCATGATCTCCAATGGTTTTACAGGTTCTCTGGTTTCCAGTTTGTTAAATATTGACATGATTGATGGCAGATTTTTTCTGTCAACATGATTATTAAATAATTGCTGAAGCTTGCATTGATATTTTTGTTGTTTTTAGAATTTTTATGTTGTTAGGTTGATGTATCGTTTTAATTATGATCACAACAGATATAACTATATTCATATATCCTTTTTGTTCATATTCATGGAACTGTTTATATAAAATCCCTTTTCCTCACAACTGTTTCATCATTTTTAAAGACATGCATGGTTAAATGGAGATTTTTTTTACATCTGATTAAAGTAGTTCTAAAGCAATTCGAGCTGAAATTAATATCCTTTTACAACGAAACAGCATGATACATGTACAAATGTATCTAAAATCAGAGTTTACCTTTTGAAGAAAATCACCATATAACAAATATATAAAAAGTCTTGCGTTACCAAGACATAGTTATGACAATAGAGATGTTTTTTTTGAACATTCAAAATCAACTGACTATCTAAATGTAAAAGATCTATTTGGAATTGAGTCCCAATAGAATCCAAATAAAATTTTCCAAAAATTAAGCGTTGAGACTGTGGCTGCAAATATTAATCATTGTTAATAGTTGACTGTTGTTGTTATATTTCCTTCATTTTGAAGGCTTTTAACTCCCCATGCTACTTCAGGGATATAAGCAACTAGCATTTAGTAAGACATTGACAGATTGTTTCTTCTTTGATTTTTCAAGTATTATTAGACATTGTTAGAGAAACATAAGAAAAAAAGAAGTAAAATAGTCTATAAAAAGAACTGTTTGGAACTACTGTCTGACATGACTGCTCAGTGCAGATAGTCGAGAATATATGAGAACACTATTGGAACCAACAACGAAAGAGACTACGAAAGAACAGCACATACATGTACATACCGGTATATCATAGGAGAATACTTAGAAACTACAGGATGATTTTGAGATCTACAAAGCCCTGAATTCCGATCATGCACCTAAAAAAAGTAAACCAAAGTGCTGGGAGTTATTACAAAGAGAAATTAGATCACCAGATTAAGATGAAATTAATTATAAGTACCATGATGGCATGTGACAAGTTGTGTCAATGTCTTGACCTTTGAATGAAGATCATGATCATAGTTTTTAAGAATTGCAATTGGATCATCTGAAGTTGGCGATCATGATACATGTATACTGCAATTCTCACATTTCTCCTTTTTTTTAATTTTTAAAAGGAGACAAAAATTTAGACATGTTAGATATATATATCAATTCTGAAAAAAAATTATGGTGCTGGGAATTTCTACATTTTGTACCAGTTGGCAGTTAAAAATACTCTTGGAGGAATGTCTTTGGATGTGTATGATATTAAGACTTAGTTATGAACATAGAAATCAAAGGAAACTAATGTTGGTGTAACCCTTCAGACAGGTTTAGTTTCACATGCATGTACTTTTAACTTTGACAGTTCCATGTTGACATTACTATTCTTACCGTTGTTCCATATTTGAGTGAAATGCCTTGGAGAGTATCCCCTTTCACAATGGAATGTTTGATATAGGTAGAGTTTTTCTGTGTTAGTCGTGAATTTGTTCCATATTTTGTTTGGTTTCGCACTAATTTCCCCAGAAACTGTTTTTCCTCTCCACCACCTTCCGCCATTTTGGCCACACGTAATCACGTGGGATGGATAAAAATAAATCGAACATAAAAAGGGCAAGATAAAATACTGAACGTCTCACGACTTCGGAGTCTTTTGTGACGTCACATAATTATCCAATCATTGGCAAAACAATTTTTATTCTGAATATAAACCAATCAAAATTAAAAATTAAGTGAGGTAAAGATCGGGGTTTAATTTTTAAGAAATGAGAATGAAAAGAAATGATGTAATAGTTGACTCATCATCTATTTTTACCCAGGGGAAAAAGGGGGACGGGGGACATATGTAGGGGAGCATTCCCACTGTGTCTTGTATTTAGAAAGAAAGGGAGTAATTTGACTCAAATTCAAATGGCGACGAGTTAAAATTTCTCAAAGAAGCACATATTAGACTGGCATTTGTAGTCCGTTTTTTCAATGCTTAATTTAAATACAGATTTCTTTTTTTGGGTTGGGGGAAGGGGGGGGGGGGGCATAAAAAAAAATTCCCGAGATTTTAGCAATTCTGTCTCTGTATTTCAAACATGCAAAAATTATAGCTTATTTGATGAATACTCAAAATCAGTATCTCATTATTCAGCAGAACTTGTGAGAAGAGTCTATCGCTTGATTCAGATGTCATATCTGAATATCTTGTGTCATCGTTAATTAAGGGTCGTTTTTGACCTCAAACTTCATTTCAATGCTTTATTCATGTCGGTCATTACCATCTTCTGTTGGTTTGTTGGACATAAAGAATGACAATAATAAGGAATAACAATAATAAGGATTAATAACTTGTTGATGTCTTTGTTTTTGCGGCAGGGTTTCTAGAACATTTTCTTTATATCGATTATATATATACCCTTTCGATCTAAGCAGTGGCGGATCCAGGAAAGGGGGGGGGGGTCCGGGGGTTGGAACCCCCCCTTTTTTTACGATCAATGCATTTGAATCGGGACATATAGTTGGACCCCCCCCCCCTTTATCCTGGGCTGGGAACCCCCTTTTAAAAATGGCTGGATCCGCCCCTGCTAAGACTACTATGGGATACTGTGTTAAAGTAGTCTCAGTTTCCATATAATAAAAAAAACACTGATAATATTAAAAGATGTTTCCTTACATGATTGACCGTAAAACTCGTGATTGAGCATATATGTGACCAGCCATGGCAATTCCAGGCTTATGGCGGTTAACGTCATACATATAATGAGAAAACGTCGAAGTAAAATCACGTAACGTAATCGGGCACCTGTTACTGAATGTCCAATTATATCATGCAGTAAAATAAAATTTTTCATGACTTAAGGAAATTTGAATTTTATTTCAAGATATAAAATATACGTAAAATTAATAAAGAAGGTAATCTCGTTTAGAATTGCGTTTTAAATTCGCATAATTTATCTTTTAGATCTCATTGCGTTAATCACTTTCTCCTACATCATTATACTATGTTTTGGTGATACAAAATGGTTAAAATTATATCACCATTGCGAGATATTATTTCGAAAAAAAGTGCTGAAAAATTATAAACGATGCGTAAATTTATTCCCTTTCCCGGATCAGTTTTGATCGGTAGCTTTTCGTCAAGGGGGGTCATACTATTTTGAAACGAAAGTAAACAAAATATTTTTTCACTATAAATCACAAAAGAAATGATTTCACAAATGTTTTTTGGCAAGTAAATTGTATCACCAACTGCTATGGCAACCGAATAGTTAATATAGAAATAAAAAATCATAAGCTATTAAGTTATAAAAGCTTCAATTAAAAGACTAGACCCCCTCCCCCAAAACCGGACAAAAAAACCAACATGACATGTTTCAATCTATTATAATAGATGAACATTTTACTCTTAACAATAACGACAATAAACCTATTTCTCGTATCAAACATAAACTTAAAGAACTAGCCAAGGAATTTGTTTTTGTCCCGGCCGATAAAGCTGCTAATAATATTATTATTGTTTGACGTAAATTTTACATTGAGGTTCTGAAAAAAGAAATCACCAATTCACCAACATTCCAACTGACTCCATTTTCAGAAAACGACATCTGTAACAAACATAAACTTTTAGCTACCGCTTTACAAGCAGAACCAAATACAATGAAAGTCCCAACTATGTATTGGCTTCCGAAGCTACACAAAACACCTTACAAATATAGATTCATTTCGTCTTCAAGCCATTGTTCCACTACTAAATTGTCTATTCTTCTTACCAGTACACTTGGTACAATCAAAAACCTGATAATAAAATGTTCAAATAAGGCCTTCGAAAATAGTGGAATTAATTACTTTTGGAGTGTCAAGAACTCGTTGGAAGTACTTGATAAATTACATGCATATATTGGTGATTTTGAATCTGTTCAAAGTTTTGATTTTTCTACCCTATATACCACATTGCCTCACATTCTCATTAAGAAAAAATTCACACACCTAATTAAATGGGCATTTAAAAAGTCAGAATGTGAATATATATGTCCAAACTCTTTTAGGTCATTTTTTAGTAGCAATAAACAAAAAAACTATGTCAATTGGACATGCTTTGATACTATATATGCCCTTGAATTTTTACTAGATAACATTTTTGTTCGCTTTGGAGATTCCGTATATCGTCAGGTTATCGGAATTCCAATGGGGACTAACTGTGCACCACCTATTGCGGACCTTTTTTTTGTATTGCTATGAGTTACAATTTATGACAAAAATCAGCAAAGACCCATCGAAACAACATCTGATACACAAATTTAATAAAACTTTTAGATATTTGGATGATATTTTGGCTCTAAATAATGACGACTTCAGTATGTATACTAAAGAAATTTATCCTGTTGAACTTACTTTGAATAAAGCTAATACTACCAATGACCACTGCCCTTTCCTCGATCTTGATATCTATATCATTAACGGAAAGCTTAATACTAAAATATATGATAAAAGAGATGATTTTTCATTTCCTATCATTAATTATCCATTTTTAGATGGTGACGTTCCCTTGTCACCATCTTACGGTGTTTATATATCTCAACTTGTACGATTCGCTCGAGTATGTAACAATGTTTTAGATTTTAACGAGAGAAATTTATGTATTACTGAAAAATTATTACACCAGGGTTTTCGATATCACAAACTAGTCAAAACATTTACTAAATTTTATCATCGGTATAAGGACATCATTCGTAAATATAGCTCAACATGCAGACTTCTTACACGTTCAAGTATTTCACATCCAATTTTTTATGGAAATATTCTTTATAAAGCACAAAAATGTCAGTATTCACTTCTGAAGCTAACAAAACCTTTAAATAGACTTATTAAGATGGGATATAGTTACGATACTGTTGTCAGGTCATTAAAGATTGCATATTTTGGCGTTAATATTGATTCACTTATAGGGTCTTTGCATCGGCACTGAACACTTTTATTTAAAAACCAGTTGTTTGCATGACACGGGTTATGTTCTTCTCATATATGTTATGATGGTATGATACTAAACCCCTAACGGGAAGGATTGTGCCTGATATTCATATGATGAAGACATAATCTTTCAATCAGTTTAATTGAAGTCTGGAGCTGGCATGTCAGTTAACTGCTAGTAGTCTGTTGTTATTTATGTATTATTGTCATTTTGTTTATTTTCTTTGGTTACATCTTCTGACATCAGACTCGGACTTCTCTTGAACTGAATTTTAATGTGCATATTGTTATGCGTTTACTTTTCTACATTGGCTAGAGGTATAGGGGGAGGGTTGAGATCTCATAAACATGTTTAACCCCGCCGCATTTTTGCGCCTGTCCCAAGTCAGGAGCCTCTAGCCTTTGTTAGTCTTGTATTATTTTTAATTTTAGTTTCTTGTGTACAATTTGGAGTTTAGTATGGCGTTCATTTTCACTGAACTAGTATATATATTTGTTTAGGGGCCAGCTGAAGGACGCCTCCGGGTGCGGGAATTTCTCGCTACATTGAAGACCTGTTGGTGACCTTCTGCTGTTGTCTGTTCTATGGTCGGGTTGTTGTCTCTATGACACATTCCCCATTTCCATTCTCAATTTTACTTGAAAAATGAAAAAAATAAAATGAAAATTTTTAATAAAATGAAACTAATAAAAATGACTATAATTCGGTTATTTTGCAGAATCTAGCAAAACAACTTGTCAGGGTGTTTTGAATTAATGTAACTTGACTTCATTACAATAAAAAAAAAAAACTCATTTTGACCGGGTACCTCCATCTCATGGCTGGTCACAATTATTTAAATGGTCCAAGATGATATCTAGGAGTCAGGTGTGGCATATTTAATATGTATTTACATGAATAATTTTCCTGTATTACCTGGAGATGTTGAGTCAGGCGACCCACACCCAACTCTTTCCATTACAATATTTTATTTTTCGCAGGAAAGACATCATGTTTCCCCTCGCTCCGCTCGGCTCAATAGTGTAAAAATAAAAACCCTAATATTCAATTGCAACTCGTTCTTCCAGGATATTATTTTAAATATGCTAATTTACTAACAGTCTTTAATAAAGGATAGGAACAGTTGTGATGAAATTTAACGAAGGTGTGATAAATATAAACGAAACCATAACAGGCATATATCTAAATAACTTTATCGAAGTTCCCTAAAGTCATCATTAAACAACTTCCCCACTAGAAGCCTTATTTCCTGTATTGATGCACTATTTTATTAAACAATAATAATATAAATAGAAATTGTATGTATTTTTGTTACAAATAATAAGCAATAATTGAAATGTGTTGTTGGGGGTGGGGTGGGGTTGAGATTTTCATGTTTTTGGAAGGGTGTTCTTAAATATTTTCCCCTCCCATGAACCCATAAAAAAAATTACCAGTCGCAAAGGTATGCATATGGAAATATAAAAGCATGTATATATTTTAAGTGTAGTATGTGTAGCACTGCCGAGCTAGTGATCTCGGTACGTGGATCTCTTAAATAAAGATGTCACGTACAAATATTTGACTACAAATGTAGCTGATAGCTAGGGAACATATGAATGAATTTTCCTATTAAATAT